CGGTGATGATAGGGTGTGAAAGGATGAATACAAATAAAACCATGCCCGAGGCGGGACTCGAACCCGTGATCATTCAGATCGAGATTTATTTATTTATGTTTATTTGTTTATTTATTTACGTCAAAAACAGTAAAAAACTGTGTGTGATCGCTATGGCACTACTGCCTTAACGATCACGGCCATCCGGATCGGTGTTTGTATCTTTTGCTTCTGCTACTCTACGAAATAAGTTTGCGTACACGTGGACATGCTTTCTGGAAGTTCCAGAGAACGAATCCCACAACCATTTTACCGTTAGTCTCAATGCTCTGCTTCGTGGAAGATTTAAGCAGTGGGAAGAGAAACTTTAAACTTAGCTTTTCTACTGGGAAAGGAGCTTCCACATTGTGAATAGACTACCATATAAAGTGAACTTGATACAGACGCGACTTTTTCAAACTATTTTCTATAGTAATTGGAAATTGTTCGATATAAATTTCATGAAATACTTAACACAGAATTAATTTTCTTAGGAGTTGGTTTGGAAGTGGAACTACCTTAGAACAAAATTAGTTTGACGATTCCGATTTAAATGGGTTTAAAAGTAATGGCTTCTATTGGTTCTTGGTTATAAGACAATCAAGTATAAGACACTGCCAAAAATGTAATTGGCTTATCTGCCACTTTGAGTTTTGAGACGTTTGAAGGTTAAATTGTCATCAGTAATTTTATTTGCAAAGATTTTAATAATGGTTTAAGGGTAGCATTGTTACATTTCTTCCAGTTGGCCTGAAGATGAAGTACAGTGCAGCGTCGTATGAAATCTGAAAATATCTAATAAACCAAGTATATTTTGTGTACTGTCTTATACTTGATTGTTTTAAACGACAGGAACCAATAAATGGTAATTGATAAATAATGCAATCATTCCCTACACGTAGGTTTAAAAACATTCATATAATTAGTTTTCTTTTTTTTTCCTCAATAGGGTCACTTGCACATCAACAGGCCGAGATGCGGCCAGTGAAATTTCGCTCCCCCTCAGACGTACCAAATGAAGTCTATTTTCTTCCAATACTTCACTTTCCCGACATTTCCATGAGATCCTATTTTTTAAAACATAAAATTAATAATCTCGAAGTATATGAAACTAAATACCACTTCCTTGCCTGCGGGAAGAAACGCGTCGAATGACAAAGATTTCAATAATCTCTGTGCAGATATAGAAACACCATGGTCCACCAGTATTGATGCTCTACACAGATTTGAAACTGACTACAACAAAAGATCACACGAATAGGCACAGAACAGATCTGAGAAATAATAAAAGCACTGTAATACTTATTGTAGACACCAGTTAACAAACAAGATTGAAAAGATTGTCTCTAGATTGAGTAAAAATAAGTTCAGTTAGTTGCAATTGGTTGTTCTTTTTATGCCAAATACATGTAAAACCCTGTGTAAAATCCATGTAAGTTGACTCAAAGAATTACCGTTGGATAAATTCACCCTTCAAAACTGTTACATAATATTCTATTAATTGAACAAATTGCAAAATAAATAGTTTAAAAAAGTAGCTTCGTTTCTTTGGTTCGCAACATAACTCCCGGAAAACGTGTCTGCCCGTATTCACGATCTAGAGAAAAGGGAATGTTTTCACATTATCATTTGTGAGATGTGAAGACCTTCACCTTGAGAACTTTAGTGGTAGAAAAGAAAGCTAGCGAATTGCATATCATGTTTATCAAATGATCTTTTCCTTGCAGGTTGTTCGTGCTTCTTTAATAAACTACTTTCGTATATGAATGCTAAGCACTACATTTCTTGTTGGTATTATTTATGAGATTTGAATTGGTCTAAATATGTTCGTTCGAAAATCAAATTTCTTCGTTTTGTAAATTCTGGTAATGTCTTTAATGTAATCGTGAAATTCAAGCAATTCATTTTTTAAATTATTATTATGAAAAAAAAATTATTACATCAATTTTTTTAAGAACTTTTTTTAAAACTTTCTCTTGTATAGAATCTCCCGAATAGAAAGTCCGGCAGTTCGACAATTTTTCGCAGATAGAACAGTACTTTTTATATCTTCAGGCAATATGTGACAGCGAAATATGTAAATGGTGGTGGAAAACAACTTTTCGATTAGATGTATTTCTAAAAAATGTGATGTTAAGCTGTCGATAGCAATACATGCACTGAGTGAGTTGTCAGCATTTCTCTAAATTCAAATTAATTGATATTTAACCTTTGATTGGCTCCAAAATCGAAAATAATATTATTTTATTCGAACTATATTATCACTTTATTCATTAATTTATTTGAACTATATGCAAACTAATATTACAAAATAAATTATAGTAACAAAGTAGAGTGTAGACTTGTGCTAACAATTTAAGAATGTCAGACCTTATATGAAATATCAGACACACAAATCGTCTTCCAGAAAACAACGCTTCAATATTAAGAAATATCCATATTCCAAAACAAATAGTATGACATTATCACAACCCTACATTTTGACGATATTGCATTTAATGACCGATGTAGAATTCTGACCTTCTGAACGCAGAGCTTGTACGTATAGAAGGTTACCTCCCCGCTCTTTAACAAAATTGCGCTCGGTCGACGCGTTGCCTGGTTCAGAGCCTTCCGTTGGCATCGCAGAAAAGAAAGCCGCCCGCTCTCCTGGTCAAGAGCTACTAAACGCCCCTCGCGAGCGCCCGAGCGCGGCGGGGCGCGTGCCGCGGGAGAAACGCACGTCTCTGGAGTGGAACCCACGATCTGCCGGCGAGAGCTCACGCACTGCCTGCTCACGCTCTGGGCGTCAGCTGTCAGTTGCCGGCGCCTCGTCCGCGCGGGAGTACCCGCTCTCCGGAGTGCGTGTGCCAGTTCTTCTCAGAACGCGGGATGTAACCCTGCGACGCGATCAATTCTGGTTCTACTCCCGGCTGTTTAGAGCGTTCAGTTCGGGTTCAAGTGCTTATGCTTCCATGTGCTTATTCCGGGAACTGTTTGAATACCTGACTGTTCCTGGCCTCTCGCTGGTCCGCGAGTATCTCTACCAGGAAGTGCGTCTATCGAATGTGTGGTAGTGCGTGTGTTTTCCAACAAGTTCTACATGTTACCGACGCCCCACTGTACGTCGGGAACCCCCAAGAAATTCGATACTCTCAACTTCTAGCGAGTCGAACCTTACGCCACATCCAGTGTTCAAATCGGGATCATTTGTGAACTGTGACTGGAACCAGAACAGTTCGGAATTAAATTGGTTCTCTCGGAACTGCGTCTTGTAATTAGTTTGTGCTTGGCTACTAAACTCGTAGATTCACCAATTTTCTTACATATTGGTCTTGGTTTCGCCGAGAAAATTTCACAGGCGATTTTTAGGATCTGTCTGACAAACACCATTGCGTCTCAAGAGTACTTGGATTGTCAATTGCGTAGTTTGTTGGAATGCTGTCGATGGAAGTGCATTTCTTCATTATTAAAGTTGGACCTTTTTCTTTGATGCCCAAATTGACACGTGACATTTTCTATTAAAAATTGTATATCTTCTTAAAGAATGTTTATTTTATATAAGAATATATTTTCTTTACGAATTAGATCCCCCTACGAGTGTTCTAGTTCCCAGGGTTACCGGCGTCACTTTGCACAAAGTGTACGTCGATTTCGAAGTGCATCTGTATGGAAGCGTGTTTCATCTTCAAAGTTCCGATCCATCCTCGTATTTAGAGGAGGATCCGTTGCCACTTCCGATGCATTAATGTAAATATCGAGTTCTGTTTGTTGCCTGTCCCACGCTGAACCTGAAGTGTCGTTTCATATGTGTCAAGTGTGTCGATTCCCCGTCGTCCTGTGAGTGGAACTCGCAATCTGCGTATAGAGAGACACTTTCACGTTTCTGAAGCCTCCTCGTGTCGATTACACGGGGAGTGAGGAATGTAGGACGCCCGAAAGTGGAAGCGTTCACACAGTGACGTCCTTCGAGGTTATTGAACTTGCCCTAGTGCAGCATTCGCCGTTAACATCCGTAGATGAGCGATCTGTATTGAAACTACTTTTGCTTGTACACGTGAATGAGTGGTGACTACTAGATGATCCACGAGTATAGTATTCATGTCTTTGGGGTTTGTTGAGTGTGTTTTCTTCTGTTTATGGTAAGGATCCTGAGATTGTTATTAGTTTCTGCTGTAACGCGATGAAACACCCATCTCATAGACTCCGATCCATCACCTGCCTTTGATTTACGAATTTACTACAGCGTTGTCTGAAATACGAAGCAACTTTGTATGCGCTTGTGTATTTCAATTTCTGAAGTCACGCCATCCTTCACGAACCCTTTCTAAAATTTACCTGTGACGAGTGCCGTTAGCTGAGACGCATGTTGACATGTCAGTTCTATAACTCGCACGTTCTTTGATGTGTGAAATCTGTCGCAGCTTCGTTCATATTACCTGAACTGACTTGTGGACAATGTCAGACTTTGGTGACAAGCCACTGCGAAGAAATCGTCCGGAGAAGCTGTCCCTAAAAGTTGATTCGAGGAGCTGAGAACGAAAGAACTGTTCCAAGAAGCTGGATCTATTAGCTGACCCATCTGTTCCGAAAGACTATCCTTCTACGCCCGAGGATTCGCAAGTGCGCGGTGCCCCAAACGCGATTCGTTCGTCTCCCTGGAGTGGAGTCGCGAACCGGATCACCTTTCACGCACCTGCACAGGGAGCGCGGTGCGGATCTGTCATTCACCGGCACGCGAGCTCCCGTAGTGCTCCTGAACTCCTAAGAGCATCACGCCGCGGACGCGACCTCTCGCCGTCGGGCGCCGATCCCATACGAGGGCTCTCGTCGCCCTCATCGACGCATCGTTCACAACGGCGGCGCAGTCGCCCGCCCGCCCACTCAACAGCCCAACAGCCGGCCCGATCACTCAACGGACCGACCGACCTTTAAACGGACCGCCCTCTCAACTGACCGCTCGTCCTCTCAACTGACGCGCCCGAACCACCCAACGGACCGCCATGCGTCTGGTGCCAGCGTCGCCGCTGGGCGTGGCCGAGGGGTGGGTGAGCGGGCTGCGCGCGTGGCTGCACGAGGTGGTCAACTGCGCCGAGTACGGGTACTCGCCCGTGCGCCAGTGCGAGCAGTGTCAGCCCTGCGAATGCGGCTGCGGGGAGGCGGCGGCGCTGGCGGAGAGGTGCGAGCAGTGCCCGCTGTACGGGGCCTCGAGCCCCGCGCCCCAGGAGAGGTGCGCTCGGTTGGGGGAGGAGGTGGCGGCACGGCAATTGGGTCTCTGGCGGTGACAGTGGTGGTGGTGGTGGTGGTGGTGTACCTTAAAAGGTTTATCTTAGGGCACACGACAGGCATATGTGACGAGACTAATGTTCTCATTTTTTGCAATCTATTATTCTACTCTTGGTATTTGCTTTATTTCTGACTTTTGATAAGGCTTTCCTTCAACCAAAACTTTTTAGTTGTTTTTCCTAAATAAAAATTCTCACCAATATCCCTCCAAAATGAATGTTTTGATCTTGATACTTAATTCTTTGTATACGATCCACTAATTGATGGTTAAGAACCGTACTTACTGTGAACAATCAACAACAATTGCTACAAACCACCCTTTTAAAAAGTAGTTATGTACTAAAAAAATGGAAATGAGGGTTGCTGTTGAGAGCCCTTTCACCGATAATAACGAATGCTGACATTTGAAATTTGACTACAAATATTTTCGTACAGTTGTATTTTCTTCATGAAGACGCTTTTAATTTGACCACTTGTCTAGTTTAATTGTTTAAAAACATTTCTGACGCAATGAATCGCTTTGGTAAAGAATATGCATTTGGCACAGAAATGAACGGAAGAAATCCCTGAATTCGATGAGACTATGCAATAATTGCAGTGGAGAAAAGTTTGATTCGATTACGTGTGTGTGAGAATGGCAATATTGTGCATGGTTGCGTGTCTGTGACGAGCTCATCTCATAGTCTCGGAGGCTTAGTTACGTACCTGATATACTTGTAAGAGTAGGCGAGGTTGTGTGCGGACGTATTAGTGTTACACGAATATGTATGCATATGCGTGTGTGATCGCCTCTACAGTGGTAGGGACCTGTGTGTGCTGTTTCAAGAGTGCTTGTATGTGTGTGTTCACAGGCATGTCGGTGCTTTGAATTCGACATCCGACCACTTGTATTGGAGGTTGTGGAGTGAGTGAAAGACCTAATGAATTTTGTCGTGGAGTGTATTAATAGAATGGCCATTTGTTCCTCCATGACGTTGTTTGGTATATCTCTCCATTTAATACGCGTCGGCCAGTGATTATCCCATAAAATTTTAATTGGTATTGACAGCGTACGCCAGACCGAAATTCAGCTTCGCCATAAGTCCGGGATTTAATTACGAATAAACCTTTTCGTTATAAATGAGTCTAGTCGTCCATCATTGATGAAAATCCTATACATTCAGTATTGCTCCGTAAAACGCTTGAATTAAAAATAGTAATTAACACTCCATTGAACGTTTTAAGAAAGATAAAAGCTTTTTGTGAATATTTTAAGTGGTAAAGTAAGTTTACAAATGGTAGAATTGTACATATTTTTACAGTGAATAGATCTTTGCAAAACTGCATCATCTCCTTTGAAGTAAACGGTTCTTCGTGTAGTTGGTACCTTAAACTGACCCTGCACCAGATATTTTGTGAAATATTTTGTGAAGAATCTCCTTATGGCAGTAATGAACTCCAGGTTTTGCTGAAGTAATTTATGAAGTCCATAGCCAATTTTCCCCGACAAGAATCCTACATTTCACGGGTGATTTGATTTAGGATACAGATGGGACTGGTTCAAACTTCAAGAGGAGTATTCCGAGCAAAGAGCGTCGAAAATATTCTGTAAATTAAGGCAGAAGGCTTTGGTTTGTGGACTTCTCAAACAAGAGGGAGATGAAATTTTTATTCCCGTTAAAAAGTTATTTGCGAAGTATAGTAATAATATGCTCCATCCGTGCGTGGGGGTTCACACAAGCAGCTATTTCCAGCCCAAACATTATTCATACTGCATGACTACGAATTTAAGTAGGCTTAATACACAGAGAAAGGTTTTAATACGAGTGTGAAAGGGTTAAGCACATAATTCTCCCGGAGAATAAAGTTTTGTTAAATCTCTTGATGAAAATAAAATTATACTTTTATGTTTTTGTGTACGGTTTTTATTTAGTTTTAAAGACACTTGTATACTTATTACGACAGGACAATACATGCTGCGTAACTACCTACATTTAAAAAAGAAGTGAAAGGAATTCCAAAGAACATTTTACTTGCATATTTTAACAGTAAATAAAAATGTCCTACAGTTATTGTTATCGAGTGCAGACGACATTACGATATTAAGATTCACAAGTAGGTACGTGCTCTACTTCAATCCGGCAGGAATGACGTGTTGCTTCAAATGAAGAGTGGTTTAAGTGGAACATAAAGCACGTTTAAAAATAAATGCTCGTATACCCCTCCTTTTCGAAGATAACTCGTCGGCGAATAACCTTATTGACCGATTTTCATCAGGGCAATTAACTCAATGCGCAGCGCGAGTGTCCTCCTCGGCCGAGGGTGCGGGGTGGGGTAGGGTGGGACTTCATCGCCCCGCGCGCGCCTCCGAGTAATCTGGATAGGCGGGGGAGGTCTTGCGGGCTTTGCATTCCGCCCTCATGCTCCGTTGGCGCCTGTCCCCAGCTCTCAATTAAAAGGTCACCGCCATGATTCCCACTTCAACGCGGCAATGGGTGGAGATGCAACGACGTCGGATGGTGAGGATGTGAGTTGGAACTTCTTTTTGGCTAACGGACGCTTTCGTTTTACACTCCTCTGGTTGGTTTTTCTTGTGGTATCATATAGCCGCTTCCACATCGTATCTAGGTATTCAGGTGCCCATGAATTTGCGCCCCAGTCAAGATCCCTCAAATTAGGATCGCAGTTAATTGTTTTAGCGGGTATACTCAAAATTGTGAATGACGCCCATGGCATGTGCCCTGACTGCCAAACTGTGGATACGACTCAGGCCGCATTTTAATATCAGTCCTTTTCCTTTTTTAGGGGGTGTATTTTAATTATTTTGTTTCTCTCTCGTTAATTTCCCTTTGGACGTTTGACTTTCTCTTAATTGGGATAATCCAACAAAGACAAAGTGCGCTGGTGAGGAAAGCATATTAGTTCAAAAATAAACTGGCACCGATAATTAATAAGGCGAAATGTCGATTCAGTTCTCAATTTTGAAGACTGCAGTTTTAATAATCCTTCTTCCTTCTTATTTCCTCGTTCAGCAATTCGTCTTGTTTTGTCGGAATATTTGATGTCTTTTTCTCATTAAAATTTTGGATCTCACGGTTACTGTGTTTGGAAGAAATGCAAAGATGAAAATCAGAAGAAAAAAAAATCGTTGAGAACGTGAGCTCCAAGAAACACATTGGACAAAAGTACTTGATGTAAAGAACAGAAAAGTGAACCAAAGACTGAAATGAGTGTGAAAAACTATGGTGTCTTGTACTTCGGCTGTGGGGAAAGTTCTGCGTTATTGACATTCTCGTTAAAGTATAAAGAAACTGCATATTACATCGATTTCTAATGCGGTACCAATGAATGACAGTTTCTTGTGTAGTATTAAATTTACCAGTGAATCGTAAAACAAATGTAAAAAGAAGCACTAATTATTTCTGTCTTTCTCTTTTCTTTTTTTCTTTCTTTTTTCTTTCCTTTTCTTTCTTTCTTCTTTCTTTTTTCCTTTTTTCTTTTTCCTTTTTCTTTTTTCTTTCTTTTTTCTTTTTTCTTTCTATCTTTTTCTTTCTTTCTTAAAATTGTATGATTAACTATTAATCAAAAATTTAATTTGGTATGGTCAACAATGCGTTTGGAAGTGACAATTTCAAGAGTGGAAGACTGAACACATTTTTAGAGATTGCCTACGAATAAACTACACGTTTTGTAAGCAAACCATAACGTCTTAACCAGGCGTGTTTGAGAGTTTGATTGAAAAACCTCCTTACTGGCTAATGAGTATATTTTGCTTCCAAACCAAGAACACACGAGTGAAAATAACTATTCCTTTCTCATTTGAAAGAGTTCTGCCCTGAAAGTCGAACGCATATCAAGGTGTGTGGGGCAATCGTGGGAATCTTATCGCACACCTTATCTAGGTAATTGCCTGTAGGTCGTAATTTGAAGTATGGTTGATCATCATGAATGAAGGAGGTAATCATTGTTTCAACATGAACTAGTGAACACGACAATCACATTATTCTCCTGTCTGATCTGAGCGAGTTCACTCAGGGTATAGAAGAGAAAATCCAGAGCTCTAGAGGTTGTTGTTTTTTTATTTTTAGTTTTTAACTAGTAAGCTAAAAGTGTAATTACTGCTGTAGTTAGTGAAGAAGGAAACCATTATTAAAGTTTAATTTTTTGCCCCTAAAAATTTAAAATGGAAGGTGCCACTGCTTCATAATGATAACCCTCATTACATAAATCAAAAATTAAGATCTTAGAATTTCCTCAAAAACAATATCCAAAGTTATACGAAGTTTCCCGCTGAACTACAATATCTAATTTAGAAAGCAAAAAAACGTAGAAACGTGTACTAAGAAATGTCTGGATTGACCGATAGTGTTCACTTTCCTTATAAACATTGGGTTCATCACCAGATTGAACTTCCTCCTTTAATTTAAAATGGTGGGGATTAATGAACTATGTGATGTTTTGCTATTATGTCATTAGTTCCTTTAGTTACAATTCCATCTATTAGGTATTAGATCAAGGTTTATTTCTCGGATGATGTGGGATTAGGTTAAATCATCCGTCACTGTATTTTGTGACCTACCTGAAGCGTACTTCAACACAGCTGCAGAAACATACCAGTGGAACCAATTATGACGACTACCGAATCGAATAAAGAAGATTAAAAATCACATTAAATTGGGCCTTACAATGCTTACACCGCAACGTCGGCTTTTTCGGAATTTAATTATAGTTGAACCCCGGTAATCCGAACTTATTTAGGGTTCTGTTCGGATTTGGAAATGTTCGGATTATTCGAAAAATGCACCATACATGTATATAAAAAAGTCCATGTGTAGGATTACCAGACAGTGGAGCAGGTGCAATAAATGTTTCATTTCAACAACGTAAATAATTAGTTTCAGTTCTACAGTAATTATAAAATCCTTTCTTTACACTATAAATAACCGTTTTATTTATTTTGTTTCATCGCGAATTTTGTTCGGATTATCCGATATTTCGGATTTGCTAGGTTCGAATTATCGAAGTTCTAATGCAGTTGGTGTATATTCTATGTTCAGTGACATTTACACCAATATTTAAATGTACATAATTAAATACCAGGTGGTAGCAGATATGTTGTGGTAATCCTTAATATGGTAAAGTTAACATTTTGTGGATAATAATTTCCTTTACCACATTGTACATAATTAGTTTCGTGAGTGCGAATTGCTCTAATGCTCCAACCTGTCGTCCTCGTTGCAGGTCGTGGGTGATGGATCCGTCTCTGGGAGACGATGAGGCGCCGAAGGACCCTGGGGCCCTTCAGGCTCACCAGCCCAGCTACACCGAGAAGGACTTCGAAGGTGAGTTGCTTCTACTCTCCGGCGTACGTCGTTGACCAGTAGTTCGAATCTCCTTAACTGTATAAAATGACCTTAGTTTTGACTGATGAAGATATATCAGTCCGATTTTGTGGCTTCGCTCTGTCGTCATAATTGCAATTATTATAACAAAAGTTTCGATGATTAATTGGTGTTTCCGGGCGCGTCAACTGCTACGATCATTAATCCCATAAGTACGGTGCATGATATTTCTCTCTAAAACATGATATCCGGTACCGACCTGTGGGAGGTATCCCCCCTTCCAAGAACATCTGCCAGCCGGGCACTGCTCAAGCCAACACGAGCAAGCTCCCGACTGGTACCCCCTTGCAGATGGTAGAAAGTATGTGTATGTGTGTTTGTGTAAAGGCAAAGGAAATGTCCAGAGTAAGGAAGCAAAAGATCGCGCGCGGTCCGTGGCCTATTTGTTAAGGTAATGCTCCGGCATTCGCCCTGCATTGATATAAGAAATCGCGGAGAACTGCGGATCAGAACAGACGACAGCACGTATTCTCATCCAATCAGTGGCAGAATTTCACTAGATATTTAGTTGGTGTCGAAATTTTCCCACTATTGGCGCTCAGAACCTAGGACCTCTCAGAGAAATTAAAAATTGGTGCATTGCAAACCAGGTTCATGTTCATGTCTTGTTTTTAAAATTACGCTACGTAATGCAATTTTCGTTCACACTATAGATAAATTAGTGAAATGGACGAAAAGGAAGAAGAAACGAAAAAAAAGTGACTACAATTGTTTAATAAATTCTACTATTCCAAAAATTGCGTTTTTCGAATTCCAGTATTTATACTTAAAACACTTAAGTGTTGTAGGTAATGAAATTCGTTTAAGGGAACCAGCTGGGGTTGCTCAGGGTATCAACTCATGTCACTGCAGTGGCTTTCTGATCGTTAGGTTCTAGGTTCTAGTCCAGACGGGGGCAGGATATTCGGCACTAGCTAGATAGCTAGTTCAAATTCTGCTTCTATCTGGAGGAGAAATCGGCTTCTGCTCTGATGGGTAGTTTTGCGCTGTTTCTCCTATCAACTCGCGGCGAACGCCGGAGCACAAACTGGCCACGAACTACGCGCGATTTTCCCTTTCTTGCCCTATCCTTCTCCCTTACTTACACTTGCATGCACGATACGAACATGTCGGGCGACCGATTGGGACCTTGGAGCTGGTGTAGGTAGGACGGTGGCTCCGCTAAGAGATACCTGGATGAGGGAAAACCCCGCAAGCCGACGTGTACAGTAGGTCGGGGCCGGAACTTACCATTTATCGGGGAAGATCACTGCCACATCCCGTGGGAAAACAAGCCCTACACTTACGGGACCAGTGGTTATACCAGTTGACGTCCCCGGAAAGACGAATTGATTAATTATGATGAATCGGTTTGCCAGGAAAAAAGAACGAAGCGTTCGAAATAAATTCCAATGGCCTTGATCATTTTTCGTTCTATATGCTCCAAGATTCTGATCTTATGAGAGATCGCAGATACAATTTTTGAGACTACACAAAATTGATGAACTACGAAAAGTATCATTTTCTTTCATTTTGGGTTACCGAGAAGACTCGTCGTCACCTCAGTATGTGCGCCTTGTAGCCTGAGAATTATTCCATGAGAAGGTATTATAGACGATTCGCATTGTGCTCTAAACCTTTTTCTCCATATATGACCCGAAAAAAAACGTCTACCGAAGAGTCGAATAAAATGCCACTCTAAACTTCATGAATTGATAATTTTTAATTTATTGTTTGTTTAGAGTATCAGGAGTAGAAAGAATTGGCGTCAACGACAAAATGTAAGAAGTGCTTCAGGACTGTTCGTTAGTGTTCTGAAATAATTTTATTTAGAAATGTCTTGTAATATTACCCCAAGGAACTAACTGGGAGGCACTTTAATAATCGGAAGTCGTGGTGTGTGCCGCTTGAGACAAGAGGGAGGAGCAACTACAATTCTGGGCACCTGCAGCTCTTTTCCATTATCGTTTTTATTTACGTATTTCGTACAAGGCCCTTTCCGAAAATTTAAGAGAGGGGGGCGCCTCCCTCTCCCATCACTTTCCGCAAGAACAAGTGAGGGGCAAATTCAGACATGAAAGATGTGAACCATAGTAATTGAGTAAGAAATGTCGTATTAATTATGTGTCCTATTAATTATCGAGGATTTGTATTGCACGGTTAAAGCGTTTGAATGGCTGCACTCCTTGAAATCTTACCTGTCGGCTATGTAGGGACGATGTCAGTGTCGTTACTAGAGAACCTTCGTTTTGAATCACTGCGAGGTCATAAATTCCAACGAGGGCACACGTGCTTCTGAGTGAATTTGAGCGCAGTTTCTGTCCCTACTTAAATGACTCATTCCGTTGTTAGGAGCACTTATTATTCCATGTTGACCCAGTCTACGGTAGCAAGTTCAATTCGTGAGCTTATTGCTTTAATGTTACATGACTTTGTACTCCATTCGAATCTTGTGTAGTTCAAGGTGTGTCTAATTTAATTCGACTTCAAATACATTCAAGTACATCATATTTGGAATCTACTTTGATACTTCATTATCCTGCGTGTTCCAGTGTACTGGTGCCAATAAATAGAATGTAACCTTTGTCAATGAATGCATAAGTTTTAATTAATAAAACTAGGCTCACCGTGATTAACATATACTTTTTTTTGCCTTGAAAGTCTCTTTTTCAAGCAGTGCCTTTTCTTTATTTTTAAATTATCAATAATAAATACTGGATAGTGAAAATTACGTAATAATAATAATAATCTACATAGTATCGAAGTGATATTATACTTTTTTATTGCAAATGGTATGCTTCTCCAAGTTTAATGAATGGAAAATACCACTTTCTTTATTATTCGTTAACCCCCCCCCTAAAAAAAGGCTATCAAATATCCTTATTGTAGGTAAGTAAATGAATATTTAATTATCTTTTAATTTTCGTATGTAAATATATTACGAAACGAAGCAGCGTGTCTTGTAATATTTGTTCTGTGTCGTAACGTTGTGACATTTAGAATGGTCTTTTCCTTATGTTAATTTCCCCTCTTTAGAGTGCAATTTCAGTTTTGCATACTAACTTAGAAATGCAATAGTTTATATGGGGGTCTAATTCGGACGTGCGTTTCAAATAAACTTGCGTCGATTGCAATACTTTTCTAAAGAAGGAATTTCGAAAGAACATTTATTTATAAAACCTGTCGATGAAGTAAAACATTTTCTGGATACCCTTTATTAAAATTTAGACGTATTAGAACAGGAATTTAATGATCTTATACCTGTTTAATACCAATGTCAGTGTTAAATGACTAATAATGCTGTAGATCTTACTGCAGATTAATCTTCCACTGTAACATTAATATTGTACTCGGACTGTATTTACTCGCTTTCATTTGAATGCTAGCATTTGGTCTGTCTTGTGGTAATGTATGGAAATGAAATTACACAATTCTGTAATTCAGCGCTGTCAGGCGGCAGCAAAACAAAACATGCGCGATTTCATTAACGCTTAGCTCCGCGTGTGAGGGAGCCTCGCACGTTGTTGCTGTGCAAACACCAACGGATGGCCCTCTGCTCTACAGAACTCAGTACTGTAATTTTAGTCATCCAGAAGCATTTTTCATTCCGTAGAGACAGATCTACTTTAAATTTTCATTCCACGGAATAATTTGTTGACTAAATAATTCGTTTTGTAAAATGTGCTTTGGCAGGTGATTGGCACTCATTGTTTGAATTTATATTAGGATTATTTCAACAGTGCTTATTTGAATTCCAGAAAGTGTTTTGATCATCTTTACTTTTATTGCTTACGTTACATTCTTGCTTTCCAGATTCGAAAACAATAGTTAGGTTATCTCGAGGAATTAAACGAATTGACATCTGGGTACTACAAGTGTTCAATGTATAGGCACTGTAAAAAGTGAGTGGACACTTACGAATTTTTCTGTTTTGGGTCTGTGGAAACTTTACAGAAGGATTTAACATAAATATGATATTACAATTTAGGCAACATGTAAGTCCTCCCTATATTTTCACAAAAATAGTTTACACTTGGCACACAACAACTCACATGGGCGCCTAAGGCAACTTATTTAGGTGTCACATTTGATCGAAGAATGCGCTGGCATTTACATATCAGGCAAATTCGATCAAAATTACAGCAAAGAGTTCGACTCTTACAACATCTTTTGAGGGAACTTACACTCCCCTTGGCACTTCGCTTGGCACTCTATAAAACGTGTTGCCGACCTGTGGCCGCCTACGATGCGGCAACGTGGTGGACCACAGCACAGAAGTACAAGGATACACTTGTACAGAACGAAGTTTTACGGTTCATAGCACGCCTTCCGTTTCGGAAACGGTTGAAAGTACTGAGGAAGGAACTTGATATCGAGTCCTTCATTCTATGTTTGAGACGACTTTCAGTTAACGAAGCCTATCAAGCCTTTCAAACCAATGTAGCTCCGGCATCGCTCGACACGTCCTCACTATAGGGCAAAGATGACTACCACTCCACTCTGATATTCGGAGGGCGTAATGCAATACAAAAGCATATTTGGCTATTGCCTAAAGTCCGACACGATACCACACCAGCCACTTACTCATAGCATTAAAACGTAAAATGCGTGCGAACTGCAAAACAATTACACAAACCTTCGTCTAAGTCGAAAAATAAATAGTTTTACAAAACCAAGCAAATACTTTGGAACTGATGAAAACAAAAAGCACTGCGCCGAAATGGGGCAGAAAAAGTCCTTGGACACTAATAGTTCTGATAAACCCATTTTCTAAAAAGAGACATGTTAATATTTAACTCATATGGTATTTCCCTTGGTCCGAATAACGACCCTAAGTCTCTGTGGTAAGGAATTCACAAGATGTTGCAAAATTTGAGGAGAAATATTACTCCATTCTTCTCGTAACGCTGTCGTTTTATTCTGTTTTATATTTTTTTTTTCTATTTCTAATTAGTTCTCCCTAAAATTTCACAAATGTTTTCTCAGTTTCAAGTCCGGGGACTTGAAAAGAGTGCAGGTGTTTTGGTGAATTGTACAATAACCAAAGTTTCGAATCGAAAGCAATGTACTAAGGATCATTATCCTGATGAAAAATGTAAGCTTGTCCTAAGTTCATTGAAGCAGCATAGGCTCTCAAATTATTTCTTATAATGTCAATGAAATCGCGTTGGTTCATTGTAACGTCTGTGAAATGCAAATCCCCGTCTCCACTAGCGCTCGTACTAAGACCGAACGACATCCGCGTTTTGCGGTCGGAATTAAATTTTGCGGCTCTAACTTTGTGTTCTTTTTCCTCCTCACTAGACGCCGACCATTCGTTCCAAAATGGAGAATTGGCTATCGTTCGAAGAGGTGATGTTTTTGGTGAATCAAGAGAGCATTCAAGTTGCAATAAATTTATTTTTTCCTCTTAATTTTCTGACTCCTAAAACTCGAATCAGAGTTATTAAGTGAAGAGATCCTGTGTCCATTCACATTTTACACTAACTGTACGTTCTTGTATTACTTTCGTAGACAATGAAATTTCAACAAGTCTATTTTTACTGATTTTCTACTCTTCTTGTGCAGCACGTGTTGTGTAAATTTAATTAATTACTTATCTTTTCAAAAAAATATCTTTGTTTATCGCTTTTCAGAGGTTGTATGTTAATTATTCTCATGGACTAATTTCTACTCTACCATACTTGGTCTTCTTTTACTGAGAGAAGGATACAAAAATATATCGTTTAGGAGAGTATTGTTATTATTATTTTGTAATTTCAAATGTTTTTATTTTTATTTTGGTTAGGGGGGGTGAGTTGTTGAAACTATACTCTTTTTATTCAAAATAGATCGTTTAACTTTTCTCTTCAACTTGGCAGGTTTTTTTTTCTTTCCAGTTTCGTGATCTATGTGCATAAAGTTTGAAATAGACTCGTAGGAATTCAGGATAAGTTGACTGAGCCTACCATTTATTTTCGTCGTGCATGGAAGGGCTTCGTTGCAATAAGAGTACCTGCACCTGCCGATGTTTTGCGTAGCTCTTCGGGGCTCCTGAGGCTAGTGTCTCAGCGACTCCTCGGGCAGTTCTCAACCCCTGAGCAGCCATCAATTCCCTCGCTGGATGCTGTCGATGGAGGCGCGTGGGCGGTGTTTGGCGAGGGGGAGAGGGCGGGGTTTCGAAAACTTGGCCGGTGAAGTTTCCGAACGTTCCTTTAGTTTCGTGAAAGCTTCCAGAGCGGAGGCAAGCAAGCGGCAGCGGGCAGACTGACAGTAGTGCGTCATTTCTTTATTGCTGCGACGCGTGGATGCGCTGTGGTTAACTGCATTTCGCAGGCTTTTGAATCTCAGGAAATAAGGTTTTCTTGTTAGATTGCATTGCGTATATCATGTTACTCGATGTTAAAAGCAAATAAAAGTTTTACTCGAAGTGCTTGGGAATCCTTGCTTTCAAAATCGGAGAAGCGAATTAATTTCATAATAAAACGTTGTTCTGAGAAAATGCATACTTCTAGAACTAGATGTAATCAACCCTATCATCCTACGTAAAATTTAACTTTAAGACCTTCGATCATTTTGCGCTAGTACTTGAAAACAAGAATGTAGTAAATTCTCTAAACGTTGTTCGAGAGTCGGGCAAAAACTGAGTAATATGGACAAAAACTGAGTAATAAAACTGAGTTAATACTTTATTTTTATTCATAGTAACTTTGATAACTGTCTTTGAATGTAAGGATCTAAGAAAATTGTTTACGAAATACTTTTCAGACAGTTATC